GGGGGGCATAAAAGGCGGGAGGCCGGCGTGGTCGCCCGCAGTGGCCGCCGCGGCAGGCGCAGCATGGACGGCTCGCTCGCCTCGCTGCTGCTGGACAAGCTGCTGCTCCTGGCCAACCTCAAGCTGTGGCAGGCGGGCACGGAGGGTGGCGAGGCGCGGCCCGAGGCCCTGCGACGGGGCGACCTGCTGGAGGTGCCCCGCACCCTCTTCACGCACTACGGCATCTACCTGGGCGACAACCGCGTGGCGCACCTGATGCCGGACATCCTGCCCGCCCTCACCGCCGACCCGCGGCACGTGGGCCGGGCCGTCACCAACGCGCGCCTGCTGCTGGGCGTCCTGGCCAAGGTGGCCAGCATCCGCGTGGACACGGTGCGGGACTTCGCCTACGGCGCCAGCGTCCACGTCAACAGCCTGGACGCGCTGCTCAAGAGCCCGGCGCTGGGCGCCGAGGAGGTGGCGGGCCGGGCGGAGCGGCTGCTGGGCGCCTGGCCCTATAGCCTGCTCTGGAACAACTGCGAGCACTTCGTCACCCACTGCCGCTACGGCATGGCCGCCAGCCTGCAGACCGACAAGGTAGTAGCGGGGAAGGAAGGACCCGCTGCCTTTCTTCCTCTCCCCTCGGGCGGCCCAGCCAGGGCTGGCAGCACTGAGCTGTGCCCCGTGCCCCTGTCCGCCAGGAGGCCTCTCCAAACCCTTTCAGGTCCTAGCCTCGCTGCATGCACCTCTCTAGGAGGCTTGCCGACCATCCAGGATGGCCCTGGAGTCTCCAGGAATTGGAAATCCATCTCCAGGAGACTGCTGAGAGTTACCTGGGGGCGGTAAATGCTAAGGGTGTTCATTAAAATAAATATTAAACGTTGAATCTGGCGTGTATAGTAGGCCGGTGGATTTTTAAAATGTAATAGTCACGTGCATTTGCCTTATGATGTAAAGTCATTAATGTCATTCCAGGGATCCCGGGTTTCCCTGATTTTAAAAAAAAAATCCCCTCTTTTCACTTTAAAGGTAACCCCAAATTAGATGGGGAGAGAGAGATCTGAAACTCTTATTTATCTGTTCACAAAAAATGTGGATTTGGGGTAACCTTTTCTTAACGAGAAACTGGGGATTTTTTTTAAACCAGAGAAAACCAGGATCTCTGGACTCATCACATCACATGATGAAACCTCCCAGATTAGATTCAAACAGTTGGCAGCCCTACTCTGGTCACCTCTCTAGTCACCAGCTCTACACAGACATGGGCCTTGAAAGCATAGTCTGGAGGCTGAAAGCTGTGAGTTGAAGGAGAAGGGCCTGCAGGACTCCAGGATTTCGGTGTGTGTGTGTGTGTGTGTGTGTGTGTGTGTGTGGGGGTGTGTGTGTGTGTGTGTGTGTGTGTGGGGGTGTGTGTGTGTGTGTGTGTGTGTGTGGGGGTGTGTGTGTGTGTGTGTGTGTGTGTGGGGGTGTGTGTGTGTGTGTGTGTGTGTGTGGGGGTGTGTGTGTGTGTGTGTGTGTGTGTGGGGGTGTGTGTGTGTGTGTGTGTGTGTGTGCGTGTGTGTGTGTGTGTGTGTGTGTTTTTGGGGGGGGGGGGTCCTGCTAGTAGGCTCTAAGTGAAATGTGTCCTCTGTTGGCAGGGCCTGTTGGTAAGTAAAGCAGGTGCCCAGGGTTTGAGGAAGCTGGTAGAGCCCCCATTGGCAAGGAAGCTAGACTCTCTTCCTTTTGGGATCCTGATGCTGCAGCCCTGGCAAGTTAGTAGTTAAGCTCCTAAAGCCCTGCACGGTTGTACCTGTCTGAAGCCCTTATCTGTGTTTTCACTCTGTCCTCTGTTTGGGAGAGGCTGCTGGGACAGGCTGCCTAACAAGGTGGTAGAATCTCTATCCTTGGAGGTTTTTAAGATCCAGGTAGACAAAGCCTTGTCTGGGATGATCTTGTTGGGGATGGCCCTGCTTTGAGCAGGCAGCTGGACTAGATGACCTCCTGAGGTCCCTTCCAATCCTTATTTTCTATGATACTGTACCCCTCAGCTCCCCGCCCCTGGAAACTGTCCCTGTCCAGAGAATCCAGTACACTGATTTCTTCCCTAGTGCTTTTCCATACTTTAACCCTGTTGAACTCTTTGCCTTCTGCAGCTCTGTGAAACATTGAAGATGATTATTCGGGACCAGAGAAGCATTGTTGTTTCGGTGCTCCTGGGACTGGCATCTATCATGTGCCTAGGTCTGGCACCATCTACCACCCTGCCCACTATCTTTATTCCATTTATCTTGTGGATGGCTGGCTAACGGAACCAACCGGCACCTGTACATAGAACATATAGTATTAATTTGTATTTATAAAAGCACATATTACTTATTGGCGTTGTGTAAAGAGAAAAATGTAACATAACCTTGTGTAATGTTTTAAAATGCATCCTTATTCAGAACACAATGCACAAGAATAGCTTACTGTGTAAGCCAAATGAGCAGATTTCCTGAAAATCTCACCGGAAGGTAAACTTAAAAACCCCTTTTAAAGCCATGAAAGAACAGGGACATGATAGTTTTGCTCTCTGCTTTCAGTTGTAAAGGTTCTTGTGAATGTATTGTATATAAATTTTTTTTTTTTTTTTTTTTTTTTTTTTTTTAAACTACTTACTCAAGTTTTATCACTATAGTAAAGATCAGTTTCATTCTGAAGCTGGATGGAATCACTAGAAGTGAAGGTAGCTGAAAATAAGCTACTTTAATTTCACTTCTCTAAATAAATCTGTATTCGGGGAAGTTATTACAAATTTTAAATTGTACTAATTTTTAGCAATATTGCTTTTTAAAAATTCTGTCTTGGTAATAAACTAAATTTTATTCTGTGATTTAGTAAATGCCTAGCCATGTATTGTGCTTCCTGTACTAGCTTATCTGGCTGAATCACTGTCATGCATTTCCTTTGGGAAACCACTTTCAAACCACTCATCCACTTTAATTGCACAAACACTTTGTACTATCCCAAACAGTTAGGTGGGCTTTTTTTGGGGGGGGGGGTTCCCCAATTGTGTTTAATTACAAGAAGAGCTTGCAATGCCTCATCTTTCTTTCTTGCTAACATGTGTCAATACCTAATTTATAAATCATTGGGTGAGAGGTGGCAGCAGTTCAGATGATGCAGAAAAAGCAATTTGGTTGTGAACCTATTCCCAGTTTCATAGAGAATGTGGAAAGAAGCCATCTAGCTCTTTATTTCAACAGTAATGGGACCACTGGGTGCTTTGCAGGCAACTTTGCACTTCTAGTAGCTTTGGTTATCACATACCTTTTTAAAGCTGTATTACCTCTTCAGAAGTTTAAATATACATTTACCTACAAGCTTACAACTCTGAGTATAATATGGCTGCTTAAACTCACTTCTTTAGCTCTAAGGACTTTCTTCTGTAACTGCAAAACCTTACTTTAAATCTAAGCTTGTCTAATCACTTGTTTCATTATATTGCTATATTTTGACAGCTGCAAAGTTTATTGCAGTTTAAAAAGCCTGTAGAGCTTCTGAATGCCTGTGTGTCCTTAAGTATTTTAGTATTGTCTTTTTTTTTTTTTTTTTTCCCCCTTTTTCTAAGG